TTACTATTAAACTTAATGCAATCATTTTGCTTTTTTACGGAAGCGTATTAGCGCCTCAAAATTTATTTTTTTATAATTTTCTTCCTATCTTTGCGTTATAACGCAAACTTTTGCGATATAACACAAACCTTTGCGAAATAACGCAAACCTTTGCGTTATAACGCAAACATTTGCGATATAACGCAAACTTTTGCGATATAACGCAAAACTTTGCGATATAACGCAAACCTTTTCTCTATTTTGTATACTCCATCCACATCCTTATATATAGGCCCTATTGCGTTAACTATTAACTCTTTTGGTTTTAATTATATTCGAAATATGCTTGATTTCTTTACTAGTCTGTACGTTGTAAATCTACTATATGGAATAGAATATACTATTTTTTTTCCGAATTAATGGGCATTTATGAGATTTTATCAATAAACAATTATACGAATACAAAAGAAAAACACTGAGGGAGGGAATTACTTAATTGATAGAATATAAATAAAACAAATACATATATCTCCATTCACATCCTCATATGTAGGCCCAAATATACGTCAGAAGTGTCCGCGAAAACAGATACAAATTGTCTTATTTACATTCGAAGCTCCGTTTTGATCGAATGGGCGATAGTATGAGGTGTATACATGTGCACACAATAAAGTTTGAAAAATTCTGAATAGGAGTTTCCTGTCACTTTGCACGCAAGAAGAAATGTTTTAATCTATCACATAACACGATTGTGATTCCGTCATTTATGACTATTCTTTTGACTAAATAGACACTTTATTGTTATTAAAGTTACACACAAAATAATCGAAGTATCGTTAACTGCATACGGACAAAACATGATAAACGATAAGCACCGTGGTTCACTGGCCTTAACATTAATAAAACCTTATTTAAAAAAGCACTATACATTAACGTTCTGAATGTCCAATAAAAGAAATTTCATGGCAGAATATTTATGTGATAAGCAGTAATGTTTTTTTGTTAATTAACAAGGTCTTTCCATGACTTTTTTACATTTAGATATGTCTGAGTTGAATCAGTTATAAGTGACAAATGGAGGATATTATTGTGATTAAACGGATATAGTTACAAACTTATGGCTTGTAAGCACGTGGCAAGAATCGCCTATAATCAGCACATGTTATTTCATTGTCTTTACAGTCTATTGACATAAAGTAGGTGTCACCTTGGTTATTGTATCTACACGTCAATGACCGGTCAGTATTTACAACAATTTAAATTGACAACTGGACATAATTTCAATTAAAGTAAACCCATTGATGTAAAATTAATACAAACTGAACTTTATACAAATAATTAATAAGCACCATAAGTCACTTACAAAACAATGCAAAAAATTTCACAATATTTTATCATCAGATTAGATACATGAAGTGTAACATCTGCTCCAAGTGCATATCAATACAATTACAAATCATTAAACATATGGCAGCTATTTCACCGTAATATGGCCCTAGAACACAGTTATTTCGTAGTGCATTTTTTTAGACAATAAAATTAATTAAAAAAATTGCACCTGCTCTATCTCAAAAAGAGTGTTACAGTATAGCAATTTATAGTGTACGACTATTGGGACAAATACTATCAAAATTATAGAAAAGTCTACCAGCTCTACATGTATCTCAAAATATTAAAATTTCTATGTTAAGTGGGTCTGAAATTCTGTTTGACAGCTTCAGACATACTAGTTTTTGACCTTTTTAACTGGATCAAATCACTACTTAACATAAAGATTCAGCAGCCAATTTTTTTTTACATGTAATTTCATCACCTTACTTAATATTTCATGCATAAAAAATAAAGAAATAAATTTGGAAAGTGTATGAAAACAATTTCAAAGTTATTCACTGTCCACACTAGGGAAAATATTTGTAGACAACGAAAATCTAAGGACGATAACTGTGTCCTCGGACCTAATAGTATAGAAAGACTTGACCAGTTCTAATAAAACTGTGCATGACCTGAGTTTAGGAAATTATATGATAGTTGGTTAAGTTTCATGGCCATAGGATGTATTTTATAGAAACTATGGCCATTTTAATATTGAAATTTGGATGTTTATTACAATTATTCAAAAGTCAAATTTATATGAGCCTGTGCCTGAAGATAGAGATTTTCGAATTAAAGAGAGCATTACTTACACATGCATTTTTTTTTCAACCAATTTGAAGTTTTTGAAGTTTTTTTAGCATAAATTATTCTTCCATATATATTAAATGTACTTCAAATGGAAAAACAAGTTAAAAAAGCATACCACATGAGTAGAAAATGGTCTTAGGCATGTTAGACTGAACAATTTTTAAAGTCAATTTAGGCCGTCGCACATATTTAAATATACAAATGCATACAGAAGCTATAAGAAGTGTAAATGTGTTACTTTTTGCTCACTTCAATGCTGAGATGTCATGATACAAGAAGTCTAATTGCAAAAGAACTCTTGCATTCAACTTTTTTTGCAAACAGTATGGTCTTATGCACAGTTTTTAAACTTTTCAGTGGAAAACTTGCATGTAATTTTAGTCTCAACTGGCATATATTTGAACCACATACTATCCTACAGAAAAAATAAAGGTAATATATGAAATGTATAATGTGCACAGATCATTGTCAAGTGCTTTTTTACAGATTTAGTGAAACATTTATGCCGGACTACAAATTGTATGTACAAAGCTCTTTACATTTCACATGCATCAAACAGGCCGTTCGACCATGGCCTAAGTACAACATATTTTGCACATTTTGTTCTGTGATAATCGACTTTTCTCTATATTCAGAGTTCACAAATGGTTAATAAAATTTGAATTAATCATAGAAACACAACTATCAAGGCATAAAAAGCTGTCAGATAGAAAGTCAACATTCCTCTTAGGTTTAAAAATAGAAACTGCTTTAAAATGCTTATTTTAGCCGTATAATTTCATAATGGGACATTTGAACAGAATTTTTTTTCAAATAAAGATGTAAATCCTTTACTTTTATTGAGACTGACAAATTCAAACCAGCAAACCATTCAGGGACGTTGCCAAAGTACAGAATCTACATTACACAGTTATTTCGTAGTGCATTTCTTTTAGAGAAAACATTAAAATTATAAAAAAAAATCGCACTTGCTCTATTTTAAAAAGATGTTTACAGCGTAGTGTACTACTATTGGGACAGATAATATCAAAATTATAGAAAAGTCTACCAGCTCTTACTCAAGATATTGACAATTCTTTGCTAAGGGGTCTAAAATTAAGTTTGACAGCTTCAGTTTGACAGTGTTTTACCTTTTTTAACTGGACCAAATTACTACTTAACATAAACAAAAAAACAGTACCCGATTTTTTGTAACATGTAATTCATCCCCTTACTTAATATTACATGCATTAAATATAAAGACCTAAATTTGGAAAGTGTATGAAAAAAGTGTGCAAGTTATACATTGTCCACACTAGAGAATATATTTGTAGACAACTAAAGTTTAAGGACGATAACTGTATCCTCGGACCACATAACGTTAATTGAACAATTTCCGCCCACCCGATCTTCCGTGGACAGCAGTAGGCGTGGATCCCACGCTATACTGTGGACCCGTCGGTGGGCGTGGTCCACCTAATGCATACGCAATACCGTGGACAATTGGACGCGTGGGCGAGCGTGGACCAAAATGTCCTCCCAATATCCACCCAATGCCCACGCCAACCGTGGGCGCGCGGAAATGACAAATTCCATATGGGCTGTAGTGTATTTCGGTGAAATAAAACAAAATCTTCAATTTCAAATTGATACTATAAGTCAAAAGAGCATTAGATAAGGAACAAAATATGCTAAAAAAATATTGATAGATAATGGGGCTTTTTTTCGGGATATTTAGTTCTTTTAAAATAGCGGGAAAATACTGACACAGACTTTTACCTTATTTTTGCATTGAATTATTGGGTCTCAAATCGAAAGAAAAGAAATATAGAATCTGCTTAAATTTGGTAATTGACCTTTTGTGAGCTATTGAAGTCTTAGGAAAAAGACCAAGGAGTCCGAAAATTTGACAAAAATTCCTAAACCTCACCTAAGTACATCATGAAAGGGACACTAACTGTCAAATTTTTGTTCACTGATTTGACTTAAATTATCATACTTGATTTATGACATACTAAAACGAATATCCAATTTATAGAAAGTCTAAAATAAATAATTTACAATGCATAGGCTCGATAATATGTATCAAGATTTCGTGTGTATTTTAGTGTAGACGCCACCTAACTAACCATCGTGGTGATCTCCGAAGACTCCCGGCGGTCATATTACCCGATATAAACATGAACATAGATATAAATAGATAGCGAACTTGTGCAATTGGATTTTTCTAGGTCTGTTTGATTTCATATTATAGGTAAGAAATATATCTTAATCATCGTTTTTACCTGTATAAGAAATAGTTTTTGTGGATCGAGTCAGTCAATCAAATGGTTTACCCTTGTTTCACTTTCAATGTTGCATTCTTTTCCATTCATTAACTGAACACGACTTATTCATGCGTAACCCATTTCTAGCTAAGGGGTTAAATTAAGATTCACATAAATACGGATTCAATGAGGTCGAATTATTCACTTGCAAGTGAATAATTCATCAGCGATGTTTCTTAGCTTATTTTGACACAATTGAACCAAGCTGGCTTCTAAAAGCGAATTATTATTTCACTATTTCCCTTTCATTAATGATTGAACAAAACAAATAACATGTTGTTTTCTCATATATCTCGTAGCTAGTGCTCCTTTAAATGTAATAATCAACAAAAGATTTGAATTACAACCCTGTCTATATTTACCTGCATAGGTAATTTATATTTAAACGTCATGCACTCGACTGCAGACATGTGAGGTAATCATTCTAAATTTAGATTATGATAATTTGAATCAAGAAACCGTGTGTCTTTTTTAAATTCATTTGAAAGGATATTTTGAAGTTCTGTTAATGAGACTGGTCATTTTAAAGACATAATGGATATTAAAGGTAAACATGTTTTCTATAGTTATTGTGTGTTACTCACTATGCATGCTGATCAAATTGTGTTAAAAAGGCACATTGTAAGTTTCCATTTAATATGTACGATGAATTAAACAATAATGAATAGTGAAATTGTTGATGAATGATTGTTATAGAAATTTTTAATAATAAATACTAATTGCCCTGTCAAAATTATTTGGTTTATTGGTAATATACATATAAATGTATAGAAACGAAAGTACCGATATGGGTAAAACATATTTCCATACTATATTTACCTAAGACATGTAAGAGAAACTAAAAGTTTTGAATATTTTTTTTTGCAAATACGTAATGTGGTGTAAAAACAAATCACAAGATGTCTCACCACTAACTCCCAATACCCACGGAAAAGGACCTAGCTATACATATAACAATGGCGCAAAAGGAAATTCAGTACTATGCAAAATTGTATTACCCTAATAAACGTGTCTTTTTTGTGTGTACAATGTATTTCTACATAAGAAAATGCCTGTACTAAGTCGGGAATACGTTCGATGTGTTTGAGCTTTTAATTTTGCCATTTGAATAGGGACTTTCCGTTTTGAATTTTCTAACGAGTTCGGTATTTTTTATTTTTTTGTTTTTACTTTTTAGTGAAGGTCAAGTTTAATGGTTCGGGAACACAGCTATCGTCCCTTGATTTTCGTTGTCTACAAATATAGTCCCTAGTGTTGACAGTGTGTTACTTGCCATTTTTATACCCTTTCCAAATTTATTTCGTCAAGTTTAATGCATCAAATAGCAAGTAGAGGGATGAAATAACACTGTTTAAAAATTTGGATAATGCATTTTAAAGTAAAGTAATGATTCGGTCTACCTAACAAAGGTTAAAAATTAATATTCCGGAAGCTGTCAAAAGAATTCAAAACTCCTTTAACATAAAATTGTAAGCGCTGATGATTTTTTCTATAATTGTCCCAAAAGTAGTACACCACACTTTAATAATATTATGGAGAAAGTTGAGGTAGGATTTTTTTTAAATCTTTATTTGTCTAAAAGAATTGCACTACGAAATATCTGTTTTCTGGCCTAGTGCGTTGTACCGATAAGATGGCTTGATAGTTTGCCAGTGATAAAATATCAGTAACGTGATGTATTTGTTAAGTATTCATGTAAACACCTTATGTCTGACGTGTGTTTTTTTGTTTGTTTGTGCTTTTTTTTTTCTTTTTTTTTTTTTTTCAGTAACAAAATACAATATTCGTTTTCAAACAGAAAACACATACAGGCTGCATATCTACATTAATATGTGATAATGTTATTATTACAGATATGTCATTATCCCTTTACCATCACATGTGCAAACATTTAGTCGGAACAGAAAATCACGTTAAAACAATTAGACTGATGAATGCAGTTTGTGATGATTTATTAAGTGGCATCCCATCAGTGACTATTACCAGTGGTAGTTTTGGTGAAGGACTGCAGATGCTTGGTAGTGATTTAGATATTATGGCTGTATTAAAATACATCGAGGTCCACGAAACAATAGCATCTAATGCTTTTGATCCTATGAAAACGCATTTCGCGCTGATGACAGAAGATACAAAACCAGGTTTCGCAATGTTACGTCTAATAAGTAGTCCTCATCCTCCAATGCGGAAAAGTTGTGAAATATTCAGAAGAGACAACTATCTGTCAAATGTTTTATTCAAGAATTTCTTTTCGGCCGGGCTCATTATACATGGACCCTGCGTATCTGACAAAGAAGGTCTTTTTGACTTCGCAAGTTGCCTTCATAGTAAATATTGGGTCACGTCGGCATTACAATGGACTATGAGGTCACATAATTCATGGCCAGATGAAAATACAATGCAGATGATCATCAATCACGGGGTACTTTTTGTGCCAATTGGTTCTAAAGGGTCACCACACGAGGAATTGGAATGGCGAATGTCATTCTCAGTTGGAGAAAAATTTCTTATTTATACGTTTAATCACACGCAATTACTTTGTTATGCGCTCATGAAAATTCTTTTAAAGGATGTTATAAATACTGATAGTAGATGTACAGATTTGTTGTGTTCTTATTACATGAAGACAATACTTTTCTGGATATCAGAAGAATTTGAACCCTCTGTGTGGACGCCTGACAATTTAATACCGTGTTTTATGAGATGTTTCCGTCGGCTGATTTATTCTGTTGAGTATCAAGTTTTTCCCCATTATTTCATTCCAGAAAATAATTTGTTTGAGAATAAAATAGAAGGACTGGGTAGGTCTAATTTGAAGGATGCACTCCGTGTGCTACAAAGCTATGGATGGCGATGTATTACATTCTCAAAGCAAATTTCGTATGTTTCGATTTTGTCATTCAGCGTTCCAAACGATCAAAGTTTCTTTTATTATGAAGATATCGACAAGTTCTTAAATTCAAAAATTGTTGCTCGTGTTACTTGTGTGAATGGTGAACTCAATAACTTAAGTAAAGCTATTTATAATATTACGACTTATAACTCCAAAAAATTGAAATACCTTCATGTCTTTTTCATGTCAGTGGTGTGCAACAGACGTTGCCAGTACGTACGTCTGAGCGGTATTAACTGTAATAAGAACCAATATAAACAATATAACACTTGTCTGAGTTATCTACTGATGAGCATCCACCATGATTCTGTCTCAGGGTGGTTGATGCTTGCCTCGTTTTTCTATAAGACAAACCAATATAAAAAATCCCTCATCATTATTGTGTATGCATTATCGAAGTGTACACTGGACACACTATACCTTTTCACAGTTGTGTCAGTCAGACAAAATCTTCTAGCCAAATGGCACTTTGAACAAAAGCAAGGCTTGATGCGTTCGATAAAATTCGTACTAGCAGATCATGTTAATTGTGTAACTTCTTTATTTATTCCTAAGGAACTGCTAATAGATGGAGGTAAACAAAAAATACCGCCAAAAGTGTATGCACATTTTCTGTCTTTCTTGTGCCATTTCCGTCAGAACAATGAGCGTGAATGTCGAAACTCACTTAAAGATCTTCAGTCGACAATAGCCAAAGATTATTTCATAGGTCAGCATTCAGTTTTTCAACCATCAACTTACTACTGTCTTGGTACTGCTTTACAGTTAATGGGAGACAACGTATCAGCCAAACAAGCTTTCACTGAGACTTTGAGATTTCCTTCTAATATAAGATCTTTGAACAGACCGTAAAAGACCTGCATGGGTAGTCTAGGTCGTTTTAAAAAAAAAACTCGTTGTCGTCTAAGATAATGGTAATTCATTTTAAAGAGTTTTTTAACTTAACATCTTAAAGATTTTAGAATTTATCATTTCTGATACCAAATTTTCATTCCTCCTTATGATCTTTGATGTTTGAGGAGTCTAAGTTTCACTTAATTGCATTATATACCATAAATATCTGGTTGACAAAATTGAACAATTATTGCTTCTTTGTCAATATTTGCAATAAAATATTTTTTAACGATGTTCCATATTTTGATATAACAGTATCAATAAACATATCGCATATTCTCCTCGAAACTACATTTTCCTAGTTAGACAACGTTCTCAGGAAATCTCCAACAAAATGAACCACATGACTATGTTTACAGTCATTTGCTTTACGGAATGGCAGAGAGACGGACAGTCAGGATGGTCCTCGACCTTAGTTAATGAGCGATGTAAATAAATGTTGGTCCCTTCCGTTTCGTTACGTACGATTAGGCGTTGGCTAATGGTAGATTGCTGAATGGAAAGAAAAAAAAAACTGTCTTACTTTATTCGTTTTGTTGTTTAATTTGCTGTACAGTTTGTGAGTGTTTATTTTATTTTAATTTTATTTGACCGTACCAGAACAAGTATTTCATTTGCTCCTAGGAAAATGACGCCTACAAAGTTATATGTAAAGCCTCAGATGGATACATAAAGAAATACATCTAGTAAAGACGTCATAAACAGTTAAAGAAAAACATGACCTTGTGCAATGCCAAGATATAGGTATCGACAGATTGTAGATTCATGATATCAATAGAAGAAGTTTTAGATGTGTTCCCTTGTCCAAGTATATTGTCATTTAGACCCAGGGGATAATCTGTCTGAAGTCGTTGAATCCAAGAGAGTTCGAAAATTTTACGGGAATCTTCAAATTGTTTATGTATTGCCCTTGTTGTCTCTGGATGATTCGACTGGTTGAAATTTTATAAATTTGATATTGTGGTTGTGTTTACCTAAATGGTGGTAAATTATGCTGTTGAATTTCTTATGTTTTCGGAAGTGGTATAGATGTTCCTGTGTTCTTTTAAAACATATCCGTCCTGTTTGTCCTACATAATGGATAACACACTTTGGCTCAGTTCAAGTAACCAGATTTGTGAGGCTTACAGTTTTTCATGCAATGCTATTAGAAAAGGAAGGCGAAAAAGCTCTCCCGTTCACAGTTTACCTAACAAAATTATCCGAATATAATCTCGATCAGGTTTGTCATTTTATGGCATTGCAAGTCCTTTTTATTTAGTTTCTCGTTTTTGTTTAGTAATTATTGTTAAGAGACCACAACTACTGAGATAACACGAGTTTTCATATCAGTTATCAACATTCTTACAGAAATAGAGCTACTGAATGTTGATACATTAAAATTATATTGTATATCTTAAAATTTTATTTTTAACTGGTTCACTTTTGTTTGTTAGTTTTTAAATATCTTACATCAATAACTTTAAGTTACCTATTTATTTATATCTATGTTTATGCTTATATCGGGTTATGTGACCGTCATCAGTCATCGGAGGTCATCCCGATAGTTAATTAGATGACGTCTAAACTAAAACACTCGAAATTCTGATTCATCGAGTGAATGCATTTTTAACTGTTTATTTCAGACGTATTTTTATTTGGATATACGTTTAAGTATGTTATAAATCAAATAATAGAATTTGAATCAAATCGGTAAACACGAATTTGACAGCTAATGCACCTTTAATGAAATCGGCGTAAACTAAGCTATTATTTGTCCCCGGATAGGAATTTTATTAAACCAAAAGTGACTTAATATCTCTCTTAAATTATATTAAAGTGCCATGAACATAGCATTTTCGGAATATGTGTGAGATATGCTATATTTAAACACCAAGCATACTACTGGTTATCAAAAATGTTCTTATCTTTAGTGAATTTGCGTGGAAAGTACCACTTATTTTTCTTAGAGCATTTGTTTTAATGAGGTCATTCTACTTTTCCGTTTTTCTCCCATTTTCGTTTCTTGCGAGAAGAGTTTGTTTTGCAAGATGTCGCTTATTTATGAGATAAACATCGATCGTATTCAAATGAATATCAATACATCTGTTAACTTATTTTGGATTGAAGAAAAAAACATTATCTAAAGTTCAAAACCGTTTGAAGACTAAATCGATCTTTTATTTCGTACGTCAATGTTCTTAAATCAATCAAAGTCTTATACACGTAAATGTATACACGCACTTGGTCGATTTCTATCCGACGCAGTTCATGATGTCAAACAGTTTAGACGCTTTTGAAACCGACAATGCTGAACCAAATACTCTTGTATGTAAGAGTTATATCTCAGAACACTATTTCCCTTGTGATTACTAACCCTTCGCAACCGTAAAAGAAACAGGCAAAATTATTTTGCCAAATTGCTTGTTTTATGTACTTCCTCAGGATGTCGAAACAAATGTTGACCGAAGCAATCTTGAAACTCCATATGAGAGTAAATTTCGCTTACGTTTTTAATATAAATAATATCTATAGGTCCTTGGTAATCAAATAAAGAAAATGAGGTCGAAGTCCGAGGTCAAAGTAATGTTTTTGATTTTCATATAAGCGTTTTATAGCTTCTCCTCAGAAACCGTATAAGGTATCGACAAAACGTTGTTGCTAAAGTGATAAATAGCTACATTAAGAAAGCAGAAAGGAGGATAGACAGGGAATTAATAGTTCTGTCTTTAATGGGAAATATTTCAGGATCGAACATGGCAAATAATGACAGGTCAACTCGTTTCCATCACTGACTTTGTGTCACGTGACACGCAGTTATCATAAGTTCAAACTCTAGTATGTTCTTAGCAAAAACATTACATTTAAACAATATCAACCAAATTTTAAACAGAAGTTTAACCATCTCCTAATATTTTTAGAAAGTGCTAGGGGTTAGAATAGTTTTGGGATGAATTGATAACCCTGCTGGTCAAATTCAGTGATTTTTTTTCAGATTTGCTCTGATGCCTAAATGATATTGAATATGAGAAACGCAGCAAGATTCATGCTCGTATCGTGATGCAAAAAAAAAAAAAAAAATCCTCATTGGGTGGTATTTGTTTTAGAATTGAGGTCAGGCTAGGCTAAACTATAGACAAAAATCGTGGTATGGGTGTTGGTTTTAAATCGCAACAAAGTTGGTACTAATACAAGGATTTATATTATTTAGCTTCAAAGCCGGTCCTTTAACATTTAAAAGATTTTGCGTGTGAATGTAAGTTCTACAAGATATATTCGAATTGTTCTTTTTCATTTAAAAGGACCATTTACACCAATGCAGTGCTTCAATAAAGATAGTAGGGGTTGTGAAAAGTCCAGACATCGGAGGTAGTCGTTTCAATTATCATATATATGCAAGACACAAAATAAAGGAAGGTAAAACTACAGAATATATTGATTATGACAGAACTTTGAAGCTACTAAACTATCTGCCAAGGTGACTTTTTATTATTTCCTGCAATATTCCATCAGAAAATTAGAAGAACTCTAAAGACATTGGCCAAAGATTATATTTTACTATTACAAACTTAACAAGAGTTTATCCTGTAATAAAGCATTCCCAAATTAGCAATAATAACAAAATTCAAAAATTCAGTAGTGATTATCCTTCACAAAATTTTTGGAATTACATTTTATCCAGGTATCAAGTATTCATAATAATAAATGAAAGCATTTATTTCTGAATTTACAGAAACTATATGTGTGACGTCACAATCAATCATCGACATACATGTATTTACCAACAAAACAACACTCCAAGAAATACATACATCACCATATCTTAAATAAAATTATCTTCCTTATGTTTTTTCAAAACAAATATCGGAGTTCAGTATTTTTGTGATTTTACATTTTATCCTTAACGCTGATACAGAAACAGTATATGCCAAACAAATAGGCTATGCATTTATAGAACCGTTGCGTTTTCGGCGTACTGTGACTTTCATTTTGCAACACCACATGACAACAGGACGTTCAATTTGGAATGTTTAATTGTCTTTTTATTCTTCACTTTTTTAAAAGAAATAAATGATCGATTTCAGAATTCATTTTGCATACATTAATTGCATGATTGTTTGCATACAATTGATATTGAATTCCTATAGAAGTATGGTATATTGTCTAACGATCTGATTGTATTAAAAAGAAATTTGTAATATTTTTAAAAATTTACGCAAAAGCATGTTTTATGCCCTCTTTTGAATCCCTATTTATCATTGATATCTAATAAGCAAAGCAATGCTGCATAGTCAGCTTATATTTATTCCCAACCTTATGTATAATTGTATATTAATAACAAAGGAGCTATGAATATTATACATAATGAATGAACCCCAAACAAACCGCTCATTAACAAAAAAACACACACGCCTGAATTATGGTTATCAAAACAGCATATATTTACTAGATACTCTGACTTAGTGCAACAACTTAATAAGTTGTTTGTGAATTCAAATATATTGCTGTGAAGTTGTTTACATGGGCCATCTTAAACACGTGAAATGGATTAACAATTTCTTCTCACAGGAGAAACGGATGGATATAAAAAATTGCCTATGACTTGAATACTTTGAAATACTGAATAAAAAGGCGGGAATACTCATAACTGATTTTCTGGTTTACTTTGAATGACGAAACTTTGGACAACTATTCAAATGCTTTTTGATTATAGTAAATCTGATCTTGCTTCTGAGATAGCTTTTTTTCATAGATATATTTGACACGCACTGCATGCACGACAATATTTTAATTCAACAAATTAGGATTCAAGTATTTAGTAAAGGTGAGTCAGCTAAACACCTGTCAATACATTTGTGTACAAACGTTAGCCACTGATCTATTTAAAGATGATATAATCAAGTTGTTCCTCTACCAGTTTTTCCAATTCATGTCACAATTCTATGTAAATTAAATGATTAAGTATGAAGCGAATTTAACATACAACTCACATGATTTCGGAAAGTATCAAGAAGAATTCCATTTATTTCGCGCTCATTACTCATATTAATTTTTTTTTCATATCTG